CTCTTTTAGGTCCGTGTGGAACTCAGTGCGAGTGCATGATTTTTTTTTTTTCTTTTTTCTTTTTGATTTGACTTCACAATGAGAAAGGCCCGTAACCACCAGGCTGTTCTGAAACATTTCATGTATTTTCCCCACTTGTGTTTTCATGTGTGATTCATGACAGCAGATTTTGTATTTTGTCCGTGCACTTATTCTTAATAGCTTAGTAACTTGTCCCAAAAAGAACGACAGTAAAAGACTCTCGGGAGGCTTAGACTTTGACTTTGGACAATTTGCATGGTTTGTGAAGAATTTATAAATTTAAAAACTTAGAAAAGATGTTGTTGTGATGTTTCCCAAGACTCTAATGGATTTCACTTCCCTGTATTCAGAAACGGTCAAGAAGAGGAAGCGTAATCAATGACTATCTTAGGTTTTGTTTTCAATTCTTAGCCAGGGAAATTAATTTCTAAGTAATTTAGAAAGTGCTGAAAAAGCAAAAAATATATATATATTTTTTTCCTTGAGAAAAAATGTTAGCTTCTGCTTCTGCCTTTGTGACCTGAAAAGCAAGGGTCAAAGTCAAGAGAGCCACCAAAGTTAAGCTCGATTACAACATAAAACCATACAGCCAGGGCTTTGCGACAGCCAGGCCTACGTTCAGGAGAGGCACTGTATCAGTTGAACAAAGATTTACGAATAAATAAATTAAAAAAGTGGTGTAACAGCCATATCAACTTCCATGAACGTAGGATGCTGTTTGTGGTATCACATCATCTTCTATGTCACCTTTACAGCCAGATGGGGACTGTAATTATACTAAGGTATGAACGGCGAGGAAAAAAATGGCATTGAGACCTGCAGAATGAACCAGCCATGCTGCTAGAGGTTTTAAGCTGACCCCAGGAGCCCTGGTCCACTGTTCTTCTTATCTGTGGTTTTTGAAAGGCTGGTGTAAACTCAGTTCCACGAATGTCAACTCTGTGTATTTATTTTTTTGCTTATAAAGCACTTTGTAGCGTGTTCCTCAAACTGCCCTGCTGCTTGAGTTACTATCCAGAAATGGTCAAGTGGGCTTTGTTCGATTCTGGCCTGAAGCCCCCTGAATTATCATGTCAGTTATTAGAAGCTGAGCACAATGGGCTTATCAGATCAACATTATACAAAGAAAGCATCTTTTACTTGTAGAAACACCTAGATGAGAAAGGCCAATATCCACCAGTCCATTGTGAAACATTTCAAGTATTTTCCTCAATTGTGTTTTTATATGTGATTCATGACTGCCGATCTTGTATTTAGTTGCTATTGTGTTTTCAATTATTCTTAAGTGATGCCGTTGTGATGTTTCCCAAGACTCTAATGGATTTCAATTTGCTGTATTCTGAAACAATCAAGAAGAGGAAGTGTAATTAATGACCATCTTGGGTTTTGTTTTCAATTATTAGCCAGGGAAATAGATTTGTTGTTGATTCAGAAAGTGATGAAAAAGCAAAAAGATTTTAAAAATTGTTTTTCTTTCCACGAGAAAAAATGTCACCTTCTGCTTCTGCCTCTGTGACCCAAAAAGCAAGGCTCCACGTTAAGAGAACCCCCAAAGTTAAACCTGATTACAACATGAAACATGAGGGTTAGGACCTTAAAGGAGATCTCAGGATCAAATTAGTCCATTAATTAGTTTGGAGAGTAACACATTTGTGATGCTGAAACATTTTTGTACCCTCTTTTCTCAGTTAATGGATCAAATGCTGGGCTTTTGTTTGGTTCACACTCAACCCCACAGCATCGCTGTCAGACTGAGAATGCTGCCAAACACTATTTCATCACAAACATGGTCAGCGAGCAGTTAATGCAACCGGATTGGCAGTTCGCTCTGGGACGGGATGAATTTTTTTCATGCGTACACATTATCAAAAGAGCCGGTATTTCCAGTCCGAGCCCTCACAACCAGCTTGACATTGAGGCCAACGCGAGTGCTGATCCTTCCAAGAGAGGCTCATCTGAACAGGTGAGGGGAAATTCTATTCACGCCCATATAGCAGCATCTCTGGTTGAATCAATGTGATCTTAGATCAAACGTTGTGCTTTACAGTCATATTGTGGTTGTTGTTTATTTAAAGACTCATAGCCAAATATAAGTATGATGATGAGCACATGAAAATTCCATGAGGTTTGAAAACAGAAAAAATTAGAAGAATAGAAAAAATAAATAGCCATTAACTCTGTGTGTGTGTGTGTGTTTGTTTTCATGATATATCAGGACAATTTTGTGAATACACACCTTCAATATCAGGACGCGTAGAAATATGAGGACATTTTTCGCGTCCTCATTTTTCTGAGCATACTAGAGTGTTTTAGAAGCCCCAAAATGCCCCTAAACCAAATATCTCCATTGTCCTAAGGTGTGTGTGTGTATGTGTGTGTGTGTTTGTGTGTGTGTTTGTGTGTGTGTGTGTGTGTGTGTGTGTGTGTGTGTGTGTCTGGTTTTCGGGACTTCTTGTTACATTACCTCAAGAACAGATATTGAAACTGACTTTCAAAAGACCCGTCTGTTTTGCTCTTGACTGAAGACATTTAAAAAGAGAGGTTTCCAGAGATTAAATAAACTGCAAATAAATCCTATGAACAAATCATTTTGAATAAAATTCTCTTAATTCTCTGACCTAATGGAAAAATAGAGATCAAATTTACATATATTTTTCCGAAGTCTTTTTTGGGCAATTCTTGAGATATAACTATAATGATAATAATAACGGTATTTTTGTGTACATTTTCAACGTGTTTCTTTGTGATAACTCAGAAGGAATGTAGTGTAGTCTTCTGCCCACTGGTATTAGATCTTTTATAACAGTTTTGACCATAAAGTGATGCAAAGATTCCAGAATGTAAGTATGATAGGGTTAAACAAATCCAAATGTAAAGAAAAAACACTTTCTTAGTTTACGACTCGGCTCAACTGTAACCACAGTGTTTGATGGGTCATGGGAAGGGGGTTGGATTAAATGACCCAGCTGTCACGTCTGGTGTCTCGTCATGTCATGATTACCTATTGTGTACACCTGGGATTCCCTTCCCTCATGTGTTTAAATAGTCCCGTTTCCCCTTGTCTGGCGCGAGTGCGTTTTCGTCTCTAGTCCGTCTTGTCCGTCCTGTCCGTCGTCTCCCCCACGCCAGGTTTGTTTTTGTCACAGTTTTTGCCACAGTCTTGTCACAGTTTTGGTTAATCTTTATTTTGTTACTTTGTCATAGTTTTGCTTTGATACTTTGCCCACAGCTTTGATTTGTACTCATGTCTGGACTTTCACAGTTTTGTTAAAATAAACCTTGTTTCCCCTCATCTCCGCAACTGAGTCCTCCCTTCAGAACCCACCTTCCTGACAGAACGCACTCGCCATATTGGACTCAGCGGAGACCCGCTGGAGGAGCGACGGTGGCGGCCCCCCCCCCCTCTGCTCTGAGAGAGCCCATGGGGGGGGGCTTAGCCACCATGCCCAGGAGGCAGCCTAGGCCGGCTTTCCGGTCCGTCCTCCTGCCCGTGAGCAAGCCCCGAGCTCGCTCACGCCCCGCAACACCCTCCGGCCATCACCTCTCCACGCCCTCCGACCGTGAGCGAGCCTGGGAAGCTCGCCACGCCCACGCTCTTGTCATCCCGTCGTGCCCGTGGTCGAGCCAGGGAGGCTCGCCACGCCCACGCTCTCGTCACCCCGCCGTGGTCGAGCCAGGGAGGCTCGCCACGATCTCGTCTTCCCGCCGTGCCCGTGGTCGAGCCAGGGAGGCTCGACACGCCCACGCTCTCGTCATCCCTCCGTGCCTGTGGTCGAGCCAGGGAGGCTCGCCACGCCCACGCTCTCGTCATCCCCGTCTCATGTCCCCAGCCATGCCCCGTCTCATGTCCCCAGCCATGCCCCCGTCTCATGTCCCCGGCCATGCCCCCGTCTCATGTCCCCAGCCATGCCCCCGTCTCATGTCCCCAGCCATGCCCCTGTTTCATGTCCCCAGCCTCGCCCTCGCCATGTCCCAAGCCACGCCCCTCGCCATGTCCCTCGCCATGTCCCAAGCCACGCCCCTCGCCATGTCCCCAGCCATGTCCCTCGTCTTGTCCCCAGCCACGTCCCCTAGTCATGTCCCTAGTCATGCCCCCAGCCTCGCCCTCGTCATGTGCCAAGCCACGCCCACGTCCCTCGTCATGTCCCCAGCCATGTCCCTCGTCATCGCCCAAGCCAAGTCCACAGTCAATTCTCAGTCATGCCATGTTCCACGCCTTGTGTTTGTTCCCTCTGTTCCTGATCCCCCTCCCCACCCTCCCGTGGTCCTCGTGTGTGTTAGGGCCGTCTGGGAGCCGTCCCTTAAGGGGGGGGCTCTGTCACGTCTGGTGTCTCGTCATGATTACCAATTGTGTACACCTGGGATTCCCTTCCCTCATGTGTTTAAATAGTCCTTGTGGCGATCGTGCCACCGTGGGTGTCTGACAGAGCCCTCGGAGACCAGGATTTGTTGGTTAACGGATTTATTTCAGAGCGTGTGTGCGGCACCCGCACACACACTCTCTCACACAAGCACACACACTCACGCCCGGCTAAGGCTCTTTGTTTAGTTGCTTGTTCCTGCTCCGTTCCAAGCTGGTCGCGTCCTGCTCCAGCTCTCCTCCAAAACCAGTCCTCCCCAGGTCCAGCACGCTACTCTTTTTACAGAGGGGAGAGTGATTAGCCAACCGGTTCCAGGTGTGCCTAATCATCTCCCCTGGCACTGCTCACCTGAGCCTCCTCCACCCCTCCCCCCTGCAGCTGAGCACCACGCCCCCTCCACATACCTCCACCGCCTGACTTAGGCCGGGGAGCCGTCCGGCCTAGCCCACTCCCCCCCCCCTCCCCATGGGAACGGGAGAGGAAGTCGGCCACGACCATCTGCGTCCCCGGCCTATGGACCACCCTGAACTTAAAAGGCTGTAAAGCCAGATACCAACGGGTGATCCGCGCGATGGCATCCTTCATGCGGTGGAGCCACTGGAGGGGAGCATGGTCCGAGCAGAGGGTGAATGAGCGCCCCAGCAGGTAGTAACGCAGAGCATCGACCGCCCACCGGATGGCCAGGCACTCCCTCTCCACAGTGCTGTACCTGGCCTCTCTGTCGGAGAGTTTCCGGCTGATGTAGAGGACAGGGCGGTCGACACCCTGCACCTGCTGGGACAGAACCGCCCCCAACCCTCTGCCCGACGCATCAGTCTGCAGTGTAAAGGGGAGACAAAAGTTAGGTGTGTGGAGAAGAGGCTCCCCACAGAGGGTCTGCTTTACCCTCTCAAGCGACACCTGGCACTGCTCCGTCCACTGGAACGGATCTGAGGCACCCTTTCGGGTGAGGTCGGTCAAGGGGCTGGTCAGCTCAGCGAAGTTTGGAATAAACCGCCGGTAGTAGCCGGCCAGCCCCAAAAACCGCCGCACCTCTTTTTTCGTCTTGGGTCTTGGGCAGGCCGCAATCGCCGCCGTCTTGTCCACCTGTGGACGCACCTGCCCGCCACCCAAGTGGTACCCCAGATACCGTACCTCCCTCCGTCCAACCGCACACTTCTTCGGGTTGGCCGTGAGCCCCGCCTTTCTCAGGGACTCGAGCACCGCAGCCACCTGCCGCATATGCTCCGCCCAGGTGTTGCTGTGGATGATCACATCATCCAGGTAGGCGGCAGCATATGCAGCATGCGGCCGCAGCACCCGGTCCATGAGGCGCTGAAACGTGGCTGGGGCCCCGAACAACCCAAACGGAAGTGTGACGAATTGGTACAACCCGTACGGAGTGGAGAAGGCCGTTTTTTCCTTGGACTCTGGCGATAGGGGAATCTGCCAGTAGCCCTTGGTCAAATCCAGCGTCGTGAAAAAACGAGCCGTGCCCAGGCGATCCAGGAGTTCGTCGACCCGGGGCATAGGGTAGGCATCAAACCGTGACACGTCGTTCACCTTGCGATAGTCCACACAGAACCGGATGGACCCATCCGGTTCTGCAGCCCCATCGTTCTTGTGGTGCAGCACCACAAGAACGATGGGGCGGCACCAGGCACTGTTGGACTCTTCTATTACCCCCAACTCCAACATTGTTGCCAATTCAGCCTGGACCACTTTTCTTTTGTGCTCAGGCAACCGATAGGGCCGTGAACGCACTGACACGCCCGGGTGAGTCTCAACCTTATGTTGAATAAGGCTTGTGCGTCCTGGCAGGGGGGAGAACACATCAGCATAGCGCTGTTGCAACCTGGCTATGTCTGTTTTCTGGGATGGCGAGAGATGGTTCTCACAATGGAGCGAGGCAGGATTGGCCGACTTTGGTACCTCAGGCCCCAACTCATCTCTCTCCGCAATTGCCGTCACCAGTGAAACAGACTCTGCCTCTCTCCAAGCTTTAAGGAGGTTGAGGTGATAAATCTGTGTAGCCCCTCCCCTGTCAGATCGCTCAAGCTCATAGTCAACGTCACCTACTCGTCGTGTGACCACAAAGGGCCCTTGCCACTTGGCGAGTAATTTAGAGCTGGACGTTGGGAGCAATACAAGGACTTTATCTCCCGGTGAGAATTGTCTTAACCTGGATCCTCTGTTGTACAGCCGCTGTTGACGTTCCTGGGCCTGGAGCAAATTCTCCCGTGATAACCGCCCAAGTGTGTGGAGTTTTGCTCTCAGGTCCAGGACGTACTGAACCTCATTTTTGCTGGGGCTTGGACCGTCCTCCCAGCTTTCTTTAACCAGGTCCAACACCCCACGTGGTTTCCTGCCAAACAATAGCTCAAAGGGAGAAAATCCCGTGGAGGCCTGGGGTACCTCCCGCACTGCAAACAACAGAGGGTTCAGCCATTTGTCCCAATTATGATTATCATCGTGCACAAACTTACGGATCATGGACTTCAAAGTCTTATTCAGACGCTCCACAAGGCCGTCAGTGGGTGGTAAACACTGGTCCGAATCGACTTGATGTCCAACAATCCGTAAAGCTCTCTCAGTGTCCGTGACATAAATTGAGTGCCTTGGTCAGTCAGGATCTCTTTCGGGATCCCGACCCGGGAGATGACCTGAAACAGTGCCTGCGCCACACTCTTTGCAGAGATGGTACGCAGTGGCACTGCCTCCGGATATCGGGTTGCGTAATCCACAAGGACTAACACAAACCGATATCCGCGTGCGCTCCGGTGGAATGGCCCGATCAGGTCCATCCCGACCCGTTCAAACGGGACCTCCATCAGAGGTAGGGGCCGTAGAGGCGCCCTCGGGATGGCCGCTGGATTGACCAGTTGGCATTCAGGGCAGACCGCACACCAGCGGCGCACGTCTGCCCGAATGCCTGGCCAATAAAATCGGGCCATTATCCGGTTTAGCGTTTTGTCATACCCCATGTGGCCAGCCATTGGGTTATAATGAGCCGCCTGGAAAACAATTTCCCGGCAGCTTTTTGGTACCAACAACTGGGTAATCACCTCATTAGTCTGAGTGTCACGACTCACTCTATACAACCTATCCCTGCACAATGAAAAGTGGGGATATGTCAACGATGTGTCAGGGTGCACCATGTGACCATCAATTCTCATCACTTGGTCAAAGGCACAGCGTAGAGTATCGTCACGAGACTGCTCGAGTGGAAAATCTTCCATGGAGTTAAATGCGGGCACTAGCGGAGCCTCCGGTGGAGGCACCGCCAGCTCCCCCTCCCCGTCTGCAGCGTCAGACGACCTCGCGTCACCACTGAGCACAGCGCACATATCCCATGTCCCTGTCGGCCGTGAGCGCACCCCTACACATTGCCCCACTAGCTTATCGAACCCCGGCCAATCAGTTCCCAGAATCAGGGGGTGCGCCAGGCGGGGACTAACCGCCGCCTTTATGCTATGTTTTTTCCCCCTATACCGAATTTCCACAGGCACCACAGGGTATCTGTGAACATCCCCATGCACGCACATAATGTCCACACACCCCGCCTCCAACAATGCCCCGGGTCGAACCAGGTTCTGGTGAACCATGGACTGGGTACAGCCCGAATCCACCATCGCCCGATGTGTACCCCCCTGAATCCTTACCGGAACACTGTACGTCCCTCTTGGACCGGGGGAGGGTGCTGGAGGGCCGACCACCCGGATCACCTGGCCCACCTCCATCAGTGGGCACTCCCGGCGAAAGTGACCGGGCCGTCCACACCTCCAGCACGCCAGCCCTGCCGCCTGAGGAATCCCCTGTGGGTGGGGAGCAGCGCCCGTAGCGGCCGGCACCTGGACCTGGGGGGGAGCAGAGCAGCGGGAACGGGGGGCAGGAAAGGGACGAGCAGTCGTGGGGGGCCCCGGACTGGGTGCGGGTGCCGACCTCCGTCTGGGTGCCGGCGTTGGCGGGGCTGACGGCTCGCCACCTGGCGACTGACGTGGAGAAACCACCGCCAGGTGGTCTTCTGCCAGAGTGACAGCCGCCGCCAGATCCGCCGGACGGTGGCACCGCACCCAGTCCGATGTTGCAGCCGGGAGCCCCGCCACAAACTGCTCCTGGACCACCGCCTCCACCAGCCGCTGTTCTCCCGCAGCCTCGCCGGGCTGCAGCCAGCGGGTCGCCGCGTCCCGCAGCTGCTGAGCGTAAGCGAAGGGCCGGTCCTCCGGTCCCAGCTGGGCCCCCCGGAACCGGCGCCGATGGTCTTCCGCCGAGAGCCCCAGCCTGTCCAGGACAGCCCTCCTCACCTCCCGGAACCGTCCTCGGGAGGCGGCCGGCAGACTCAGCGCCGCCGTCTGGGCCACTCCTGACAGGAGGGGAAGCAGCCGAACCGCCCACTCCTCCTCCGGCCACCCGCACGCCGTCGCCGTGGCCTCGAACGCCCCGAGGAATGACTGCGGGTCATCTTGTTCCGTCATTCGGAGTAGCTGGATTCCGGCGATCGCCGGGTCTCTTGGCGGAGCCGTCGTCCGCACCACCAACGCCTCCAGCAGTTGCGTCTGCTGCTCCGTCTGCGCCAGGAGAGCCTCCAGCTGCTGCCGGCTCAGGGCAGCCTGGTCCCGGCTCATCGCGGCCATCTCGGCTAGCATCTGGGCCAGCATCATTAGTGGTTGCTGCTGTTCAGCCATGTTGGTCGCAGTACTCCTGTCAGACCACGTTGGGTGCCAATTGTGGCGATCGTGCCACCGTGGGTGTCTGACAGAGCCCTCGGAGAC